TAATCATGTTCAAGTGTTACTATCAACTGTTAGAAAATGAATGAGTCAGAAAAGCTGAGGGTTGATTTCAGTATAATAGGTTTGTCACAGTCTGTCTAATGTAAAGTCAAAAACAGCTTCAGGATTAGCTGAGATGTCAACCAAACATATTAAAAATATTAAAATCATGAAAAAAAAAATATTAAGCAAACATCTTGATAAGCACGACGGCCTATGCCACAGTGCACAGCTCTGGTTAAGTTTGGTAAGAAACATCAATGAAAACATAGGAATGTTCAACGAGGAACTGTTACTGAATCAACCTGGACTCCTTTCCAATGAGAGCATGCACCTGTATACCACTTTTTGTAGTATAATTACCTTTTTTTTAAATCTGTAAATACTGCTCATCATACTACAAGTGCTGCTTTCTTTAAATGCTATTAACTGCCTTTGGATGTACATGACATTACTTTCTATGAAGTATTTTTGCACTCTCAATCCTTTTTTGCACTTTTTTTCCAGTTTGCACTTGTCTCATCATATCGTCTGTGTGCCTTTTGACTGCATACTATGTTGTATTATGAACTATGTTTTGAGCACTTAATATGTTGCGTACTTATATGTTCTGTCTACTTATATGTTTACACCAGGGATCCAAGAAAAACAGCTTTTCAATCCCGTCTACGTCCTGTACATATGTCAGAATTGACGATAAACTTGAAACTGCAGAAGTCCTGTTCTGTGCCTGCAAATATACACGACCACTTCTACTGATCCTCACCAAATATCCAACAGAATGACAGATAATCTGTGCAGTGAAAAGTATCACACTGTTCAGTTTCACAGGAATTTACATTGATATGGAGGTGTGTAAGTGTAAAGTGAATACGGCTGTTCCTCCTGAAGAAGATTCCTCTACATGTCGTGCATGAAACGGACACAGCAGTGGCAGCACAGAGGCCGAACTGTGTCGACAGCTGTGGCTGCTGTCCACTGACTAACACGTCTCTCTGTCTACGTGTGAACGATTCCCGCTCTGTCACTCTCCAAAAAAACGAGTCCCTCCTAGCCGGTGGTGGGTTCTGGAGAGCTGGTGGAGGTGGATGAGGCCGAGGCCAGTCTCTCCCTGCTGTCGACTGCCCAGCCTCCGACCACCTTCCACTGAAGGATGCAGGTGTCCTTCCCTCCCATTGAGAGCAGGTGGGAGTCGCTGTGGGTGAAGCAGACGTTGGTGACGTGGCTGCCGTGGCCGTCGTACTTGTGGCTCGGTGCCTGGAGAGAAAAGAATGAATTGGAAATTTCATCACCTCCTTTCACCTCCCCTTCCCCACTCTGTCTCCACAGAAGAGAATAAATTCCGTATGTATAGTCCATTTACACAAATCACAATTTGCCTCAGGAGGAGAAAAATGACCCCCAAAAACTTTGAACTGGGGAAAAGACGTAGAAACTTCAGAGAGCTTTGTAAGTAACTGATGTGAAGCGGAGCACCTCAAAAAGTATATAAATCTTTACAACATGAATGAGAAATTACATAAATACAGAGGTGTATCAATGTTTAAAGCATTTATACAATGAACATGTTAAAATTAATCAGGCCTAGAGTCCTGCCAGAAAGCGTGAAAGGTTTACCTTTACCTGCTCTGGAAAAACAGCTTTGTATAGGTGTGTGATAATAATGACAGAGCTGCAATTATTGAAGAAAATACATATTGCAGGATTTTTCTTTTTAAAACTACAGGTAGGATTGGGTAAAAGAAAGGTGGTTGATTAGTTAGTGATTGTTTTAAGTGAACTGTCTTGTTTTGTTCTCAGGTGTCCCTTGTAAAAGAAATGAGGAAATCCTGCCATATTTCAAAACCGCTAAATAGTTAGAAAGACACTTTAGAGGTGCATTATTACAGAAAATGTTAATACTAGTTATAACACCACAACTAGTAACTATTTGCAGTGAAGCATGACAAGCAGAGATAGTAGGTATTACTTAGCAGGCAATAGAATAAGATTACTTACCATCCCTTAAACTAAAACTTAGATAAAGCTGAAGGTGTATCTTTTTTCTGTTTGGGTGAGGGAAGGATTTTTCTCTCCCCCTCACCCCATCTTCACCTTTCTCCCCAATTTACTGTTTCTTCTTTAACAAAAATGCTTTATTAGGCAGCCCCCAGATTAAGGAAATGTTTGCTGGGTTACTAAGGGTGATAGATAGCAGGTGGCAGTGACTGTGGTCATGTGGAATGGACATTGCTACTTGATCATCAACAAACATAAAAAGTTTACGTGTTTGTTTACACATCTTAAGTCAGGTCAGTTTTTCTGTATATGCTGCGTAATCATGACTGAAGTTATCTCAGGGCAATTTTCAAATAGAGGTCTCGGGGCTGTATATGTTAGTCCAAAACAAGTTTTCCCTCTTTATGATATGGAGGCAGTTTAAAAAAAAAAAAATTCTCTGCATGCATAATCAGACGAACATATCTAAGGAAATAGTTTTTACCTTTGGTTTAGGACATGGGTACTGGAAGAGGTGGACTTTACAGAAGTCATCAGCTACAGCCACCATCCTCTCACTATGAGAGCGACACAGGGCGTTGATGTCTGTGCCGTCTGAGCCCTCTAACCACACACCTGGAACAACAACAGCATCACGGTCATTCACACGAAGAGAAAAACCACAGCACGTGAAAGGGTTGAGATGTTGCACTAGGTGTTGCTCACCCATCACATGGAAGCCCAGCACACAGGTATAGGAGGCCCACTCTCTGTCTTTGCTCTCGTAGCGGTTCCTCAAGAGTTTACACCCTGCCGCGATGTCCCCTGTGAAATCACAGTCAGAGGAGGAGATCATCATGTTGTCTGAGGACCCCAGTGCAATAAGCTACATGTATATGCTCACTTACAGTAAAGGATCTCATAGTCGCCAGAATTAGACATAATGTACTTCCCATCTTTGGACCAATCCAAGTGAGTTATGAAGCTGGAGTGACCCTAATGGGAGAGATGAGCAGATCACACAGTGCCCCACGACCCAACTTTTAACAAAGAAGGCTGGGGCCTTCTAAATTGTCTTTCTTGTCAATGAATCCCATAAAAAGACAAAGCAACTGGAGCCTGACCGATATGGATTTTTTGGATACTAATATTATA